TTACTAACTTGGCTCATGTTTTAAAGTATCATGAAACATTTCTTTTGAGGCCTATTTTCAGTGCACTGTAGTAACCTCAAATCTTTTTCTTCTCTTCAACTTTCTTTAAAGTTGTATATCTGAAACATTCCAGGTTTAGTCTAGACCTGATCAACTAACTGCCTACTGAAGGTTGGTCCTCTTGGTCTTTACTGTTATTTCAAAGTTATTTTACTAATTATTGTACAACTGTCCTATTTTTAGAGACTGTCCCTTTTTTTTTCAGAAATTTATTCCAATATTCCACTAACATTTTTCAGGACAATTTTTTTCTTTCCCATTTTCCATGGTATGAACCAAGGACACAGTGTTGAATAAGCTGCAGTTTTCAGAGTATTTGCTAAAAGAGCATCCCTAAGGAAGCAACACAAAACTGCTAGGACAGAAACTGCATGGAAGCCACATCTGCCATTACTAGTTTTGACTGAATCTCAAAATCCACCCATAATACAGCACAGAAATGTCTCCAGGATTCTGAAGGTAAGACTTCCTGACCCTGTCATGAAATATGATACTGTGAAGCAAAAAGTTGAGAAATATTTAAACATTTTAATAAATTGAGCCAGGAGGCCTTGAAAAATCAGGCCAAAAATTATCTGTATAATCCATGATTACTTTTTAAATTTTCGTTTATCATCATTATAAACCTTTCAATTTAGAGATTGGTCACATTATTTTAATAAATGGGAACATAATTTAATCTAAAGCTGCAAATAGCTAACCATTTATATATTTTCTTTTTATGAAGAAGCCCCACAAAATAAACAAACTGACAAAAATATGTTTTTTAGGAAGCTTCCAGGGTAAGTTTCAGGATCATAGCAGTGTCTAACCAGTCACCCTGCTACCCTTGCACAGCTTCAATACTCTAAGTGATAATCAATGTCCATTATGACAAGCTAAACAGAGCCACAAGACGGTCAGTCCTTTCTGAATTGCCACTATATCAAGAATCATTTTAGTTTAGCTGTATTTAACTATTTCCTAATGGTTATCAACCAGATTCTAGAGAAACGACTGTGCTGTAGTAAAGCATAAAAAGTTTAATTTATTCTTACAGTTCCAAGTCTAATGAGGTAAAATAGGACTTGCAGGCTGGCTGAAAATTTGCAGGCCAACTAACAGAACACATGTCACCATTTGCTCAAGAATATTCCCAGTAAGTATATATGTCAGTAAATTTCAACTCCTCAGATACCTGCTCTCATGACCAAGGGTGTAAATCATGATCTACTTTTATTCCAAACTTCCTTTTCTTAAGGTAGTGCAATCACCTCTAGCTTCATGGTACATAATCTGCACATTCTGTTGTTAAAATCAGATGGAAATTTGAAGGTTTCTGCTGAGTGAGTTCTAAGCAGGGCACTATCACTCATGAAAGGAATACAGCCTGTAATGCATGGAGGCCTCCTGCATCCTGGTGATGCACTGAAACAACCCAATTGTTTTTAATTTTGTAGAATTTATTTTGTTTTCAGAAATTATGTTAGATCATCTGAAAGGAGATAAAATCGTATGAGTATTTTCCAAAGATAGCCTGCTCAAGAAATGTAATAAGTCATCTAAGCCTATTTGATTCTTTCTAAAAAGAACCACAAACTAAACTGAAAGTCATTTTGACATTTCAGTTTTTTAATTTTTAAGATTTATTAGAAAGTGGGTAAATATTATTTTACCTTAGTCTTCCTGAAGATTCAATGCCTCTTGTAAAAGCTTTGGAAATGGTCCAATTCAATAACCTGAAACTGACCTGCATTGCATTGCAGTAGAAAGAAACACTATTTTATTTATAGTCACCATCTCACACACGTTTACTATTTCCAGCCTCCTAGGAGCACAGAAAACTGTCCTACAAATTTAATATTTTAAAAGTATGAGAAAGTATGCATTAGATAACTTTCTAGTTAGAATTCTTTTCTGAAAAACTACATAACTGCATTCAACTCAACAAATATTTATTGAGCATTAACTCTAGTTCAGGTGCTCTTATAAAGATACTGTAAGATTTAGGCTATTTTTTGTTATACAGATCAATTATTTTTGAGGGCTTTTTATAAAGTTTTGCAACATTTATTTTAAAAACCTTCCTTTTCCCTTTGAGAGGTTGGAAATTACCTGTTTTCCAAATTAAGGGGGGCATTTCTTTTCTACCTTATTTCTGGAATTTCCCTCTGTAATTGTGGACATTCCCACCTATTATTTCTTTAAAACAATGCTACTTTTTTAAAAAGTTGTTGAGAGCCAGGTAATTCACTGAATAACTCAATGAAAGTGGCCAGAACTATGACCAGATGTGCAATCTTCTCAAGAGACCCAGGCTGTTTGGATAGTAGGATCAGAGCAGGAAGATGAGAATACCTGACTCACACAACAGGAGGGGAATGAGAGAATTTGGCACATGGCTATCCACCTAATAAAGCAATAGTAAGGTAGACATTTATGTTGGAGTCTAGTCAGGTAAGACTTGAGGCTGAGGAGTGGAAGAAGAAAAGGGATTTAGGCCAAAGGTAGGAGAAGGGCTGTTGCTACCATGGTACTTCCAGAAAGGCAGCTGTCCTGCAGGTTTCAGGACAGTTCTTGTGCATACATCCCAATGGTAATGGTCTGCAGAGGATGATTATTGCTGCTCATTTCCATCCACAGAAATAGAAGTCACAATTATTAGTCTACAGAACCTGATAGGGTATTTTTACAGGACACAGCTTCTCATTTTTAATTTCACATGTACAAAATTTTAATATTTAATTTTTATGTAGACTTAATAGAAAGTAGTTCTATATACCAATTAATAAATCTATTCCCACTGTAGATTTCAAGGGAGATAGATTTTGATTATTAGTAACCTATCCTTTATACAAAAACATGAAATAGAGAACAAAAACATAGTTTATTTAGTAATCTGGAATAATCAACTTCCCCCATACATGAGAACTATTAAGTGATTTTCACCTTAATTAGGTTTATAAATCAGTGGGAATATTAGTTCACTTATAAAAATAAAAAATTGGTCTAAGGTAGAGGCATGTCTACCTGAATGCAATCTGCCCCCGTTAATGATATCTTTCAGACTTTGAGACATATTTAAATATAAGATTTCTACAGCTCCCATTTAACTGTAGCTAATAAACAAAGTTCCAATCTAGCTGAGAAGTGAAATATTAGGTTCTTTCTTGAATAAAATTTTTCAATTTTGATATATACAATCACTGGTTTGCATGACCCTACAATGTATTTCCCAGACGAAAAAACAAAAAAAGGAGTTAAAGAAACACAGTGGTCAAAGTTGGCATTTCATGGTCCTTTAAACTATTCTACCTGGTTAAAAGTAGCATATGATTTCTGCCCTGACTGGTGTGGCTCAGTGGGTTGGGCATTGTCCAGCAAGCCAAACGGTCACCAGTTCTATTCCTGCTCAGGGCACCTGCCTAGGTTGCAGGCCAGGTCCCCAGTTGGGGCATGCAAAAGGCATCTAATCACTGTTGCTCTCTCACATCAATGTTTCTATCCCTCTCTTTCCTCCTCCTTTCCCCCCACTTCTAAGAATGAATGAATGAATGAATAAAATCTTTTTAAAAAGAAATGATTTTTATAATTAACCAAAGTAAGTAACAGGACCCCATTCTCCCTCAATGGTTAACTGTCTATGAGTTTTTTAGTTTTATGATTTTAGGATTCTTCAGGTAGTAGTTTGTCTTTATATTTACCTAAAAAAACAATTAGAGTAATTCTCAACCTAAAATTACAAAGGAAAGTAACCAATTAAAGAGTAAAACCTGTTAAAAAATATTAATTTACCTCCTAAGTTCCCAAGACTCTGAGAGACCTATCTATAAGATTTCCCAGTCACTGAGAAAAGTCTTTTACAGTTGTTCCAGGGATGGTTTAAACTAACCTGATGCATCAGAAGTCACCATTCACAGATCTAAAAATACACCAATATTTTAACAGCCAGCTTCTTATGATTCATAGTTTTGATAAACATGTTTAAGTTCCATGAAATACATTACCTTTGAACTTAATTGAAACTACCGTATACATGAGTGTTTATAATCTCTTATATTTGTCAGGCTGAGAAAAGAATTCTGATTGAGGAAGTAGAAGAGTCATTCTTTGCCTTCTCCTATGATAACGTAAATAAAATAAAAATATACTTCCCCTCCATTTAAAAGCAAGACAGCTCAAAAAGTCTACCAACTGACCTACCTGAATATTTTCCACTTCCTTCCAAAAGATGAAAAATCACCTCAGCCAGGAAACACCTTCTTTAGATTAGTGACAAGTGTAGAACAAGCACACCAGTCAGCCTTCATCTGTCGGTAGGCATGCTCAGAAACAGAGAATACAACTCTGCCTTTTCATTGAAGTGACACACATCATATTATTCCTTCATCTGCATGTCACCAAGCAGAAAAGTTCCCAAGCAAAACAACTACTTGATCTTGGTTGAACACCAGGTTATCCTTAAAAAAATGAAACCTCAGTACTAAAGACAGGTGATGATGATGATGGTAATGAAGATGATGGTGATCATGATGATGATGATGATGATGATGATGAATCTAGTTTAATAATTTCTTTAGAAGGAAGGAGGAAAAGTTATCCCCATTCTCATACTAGTTTCTCCGCAGCACAGTAAACTTATTCAGGAAGTGGAAAATTTAGCAGATTTATTTAGGAGTTAAATGATTTAGATTGCAGCACAACAAGAGGGTTTGGGAAGCACTTAAAGCTGCAGTAGAAACTGGGTGCTTGTGAAGTAAGAGTTTCAAAGGTTAAAAAAATGCCCTCCTCTCACTACCTCAGGTGCCAACCAAAAACTGAGGTTTTTGTTCCAGTTTCTCTTTCGTTCCCAGCCAAGTCAAAGCATCAGAGCTGTGAAGCTATGACACTACTCAGGGTGTAAACTCTGTAAAATGGGAGAATAAAAGAATTCCTAGTATGAGTTGGGATTTAGGATTTACCTGCTCTGATCCCAGTTGGCAGCAAAAAGGACTAGTATCTTCCTGCCATAGTGGTCCAGGTTGGCCAGGCCCCCAGGGAAGCCATCCTTCAGTGCCTGCTTGATGCCAGGGTCAGTGGCCTTGAAGCTTTTAAACATGTCCAGGTTCTGCTGCCGGTACTCAAAGTATTGGGCCAGGAGACGGAAGGCCTCAAAGTGATGAAACTTCCTGGCCCTCAAGAACCGTAAAATGAAGGCATCGTCCGTGCGCAGAAAGCCAATGTCCGGCCTGGTGATGACCATGTCCCTCACCTCCTGGATGTCCTGGTGCAGTGTGTCTGGGTTCTCGTTGAGCTCCAGGCGAGCTTTCTCCAGGGTCTCGGGAGACAGCCCAGCTTGTAAATGAGTCATTGTTCTGTTTGTTCCTGAGCCTTCCCTTCCTCCTGCTGACTGTCCCACAACAAACCTGGAGCTTGACACCACCACACTCTGGCCTCCAGACCTCAAAGATGCCTGCTTCCTCTTCTTTACAGGAAATGATTTGTCTTTGTGTCCAATCAAGTACCCTGTTGCTCCCGCTTTCCCACGGCTTCTTTATGAAGGATATAAACTTCTTTTCCCACTCCCTTGAAAAACCGCCCCCACTCGGATTCCCTCTTCCCTTTCCTCTAAAGCGATGCGCACCTTTGGCCGTCCCAGCGCTCCTCTTCTCGTCCCTTCACTCCCCTAGCAAAACACGCCTAATCTCACCCCGCGCGGGTGGTGCTGATCTTGGTACTGTCCTCTTCTCTCCCAAGATGTAACAAAAACAACCCCCACGCACATCTCAGCCGCAGCGCTTCGACGCTTCTGCGGTCCGTACCGAAGGATGCTCTAGCCAGGGATAACGATGGGGATTCTGATTAATAATAAGGTGGCTTCTCGGCGCTGAGCTCCAGGCGGGGAAAGAGCGTCTTTGGCGGAAAGAAAAAGAAAGAGAAAGAGGGGGGTGAAAGAGCTTATTTCTCCTTCTGCTTATTCAAAGGATCTATTTGTCAAAAATATTTGTGGGCTTTTATTTAAAATTATTATGATCCGATTAGGTGGAGACTCTGTATATAGCGCACCTTCCCTCCGCCCCTCTTAGATACACCCGCGATCTCATAAGGCACCAGAAGGGGTTTTGGTGGCGTTGGCACCAACGTTTGCTCCCGCCCCCACCCCCACCCCCAACTTCTGCCTTTCTCCGGCCCTTTATTTCAACGGACTTGCCCCGGGGGGCTGGGGGGAATCGCTCTGGGAACGTACATGACAAATGCTAGGTGGGGTGAGACGGCGGAAAAGAGGAGTGGAGAATAAAATCAAAATGTCTCTACCTTTTCTATAAAACCCCAGAGCAAGAGGGAAGAAAGAGCAGACGGCTCCTACCAGCAAACCCGGAGGCGGGGACGCTAAGCAATGCGGCACTTCCTGGCATCCATCAGCCGCGGTTTCAGCTACGGCGGCGGCGGCGACGACAGCAGCATCAACTCCTCTCGGTGGGATGGATCCAGCAGAGAAGAGGGGCGGTAGCGGATACCCGGGCGGAAGACGCACTGGGGAGCAGCCGTGGCCACATCGCCCGCGAGCAACCCACTGCCTCTCCCCGCAGGAGGAGTGGGGGTGCAAAGCTAGGGCCACCGCTGTCCCGGGCCCTCGCCCAGCCCTGCCATTCTCTCTCTCAGGAGGGAAGGGAGGGAGCGGGGAGTGAAAATCTGGCGAAGGCCACGCGGGCCGCCTCCGCCTTTGTGCACCGGGAGCCGCCGGGGCGGTGGGCGCGGCGGGGTGGCTGCCGAGGGGCACGGGCCCCCTCAGCCTGTGCGCGCCCGGACGCCGGGAGCGAGGCGCTCCCCTCCCGCTGCTGCCGCTGCTAAAAGACGGACTCGGTTCAGCCCAACTCCTCTCTAATTATCCCAGCACCGATCTCGCTGCGACGTAAGCACTCAGCTCACGCGCGCACTCCTCGCCTCTCTGCCCAACTCGTTTCGGTAGCACGGCAATTTCGGTAGCATTCGTATATCCTGAGCCTCAAGTTTAGCCTGCGCCTGGTGCCCACTTCCAGCAGGTTACTCTGGCAGGCACCGCCTGGCCAGGCGGGACAGCGACGCCCCGCGTCCTCCCCACGTCCCTCTCCCACCCTTTGTGTGCAGGACCCTAGAGTGGTCCGGCGAGTAGCCGTTGTAGATGGTAATTCACATCGACACACCTTTGCTGGTTCCTGTAGGGGGCAATTTAATGAAGGAGTACAGAAAACACTTTATACTTTTTCTATTTGTTGTTGAAATGTTTAATTTAGAAAAGAAGACCAGAATGTTTCCAAACCATTGTGTTGATAATTAAGCCTCCGGGGGAACTTGTATGCAAAGCATTTCAACCCTAAACTCTGGCTGCTAAATTCGTATTGAAGAGGAAGGGAAAAAATAAACACTCCTTGACTCACTTCTTACCTCATAATAAAACAAGTATTTCTGGAGACATGATTCTTCACTCGGTGTTATGCACCTTTACACTAGAATCATTGTAAAGAACAGAAATCTTTAAGCTTAACATGACTGTCTGCAGCTTCGAGAAAAAAAAATGTTTCGCATTTTCAAAGCACACTGAGCAAGAGCTGTTTGGAGCTTACAAACTGTAGAACGGGCTACTGAGTTCAAGTCAAGCAACGCAAAAACATTTACTGACCTATGCGTGGGGCATTGTCCTAGATTCTATGGATAAATGATCCTGAAAACAAGAAAATACTGTCATTTCTGATGGCTTTGAGAACCCTCAATTGCAGGAATACACTTTTTGTTGTTGTTCTCATGGCAATGTTGTTTTTTGTTTATTTGTTTTTTAAGAAGGAAGATGGCAGACCTATATCATTTTATTAATTAAATTAATGCATATAGTGTAGGAGCCAGAATAAGAGAATTACACACACACACACACGGAGACAAAATGATTCTCAAGAAATTTATATTTTAATTAGGGAGCAAACAGTAAGCCATATAGGTATTTTTGCATTATATATATGTACTATATAAAGGTCCTTCTATGTCTATGTGATTTTGACTCTCCAAAACATTCTGAATGCATATGTTAAGTAATCTGATCCCATTTCAAAAAGTTTAATTTATTTTGGGCCAGGCCAGTATTCTAAAAATTGAGGAAAATTTGTCTCATATCAACTGTATAAAGGGGTTTCAACCATCACCACAATTGAAAGACAGTTCTCCATGGATCTCTTGTGTTTCTACATGTCTCTGAGCAAGGCACTAACTGCTCTTTTTTCCAGACTATGTGTTCAAGGTTGGTAGTAAACAATCTTGAAAGAGCCTTGGAAGCTAGAGATTGTATTTCCATTTGAACAAAGGGTAGATTTGCTTAGAGTTTAGGAAGACAGAGACACTGTCTCTCTCCTGAACAAAGGCAGGCAAGCTTGAGTACCCACAGCTCAGACCTACTCTCCCATAACACCCACTGCGTGTGCAAGTATTACCTGATGCTTTTAGGCTTGTGAGAATTGGGGCTAGGAAACTAGCACAGGGTATGCTGATGCTCACACTGCTTGCTGCACCTGAGTGATAGTTTTTATCTCTAACCCAGGAGTTTTCCATCTTCTACCAGCATCTATGAAACTGTGGCCAGCTAACTTAACTTGCAAGTAGGGCTAAATCTCTAATTTTTCAAGGTACTTAAAAACCAATTGCTCAGTTTTATTCTCTGATATGGAAATATTAGACTATATTTTTAGAAAGAAACAAATTTATTTGTTGTTTCATAGTATGGTGTTACCTATATTTAGTGATGATATTTTTATATTTATCAATAATAGAATTGCTTCAAACCAGGTTCATTTTAACATATCAATATATGATATAAAAAGCCTTTGTCATGCATTAGGGTTGTTAGAGTAGATCAGTTAGATACATCTAAGAGTATTTCTCATTATATTTACTAACTGTTAAGTCCTTTCTCCAAAGACCATACTATTATTCTCTCTATATTTACACATTTGAAGTCATTTCTGAAACCAAAACAAATATGCAAAGCCTTCTAAGAATTAAACAAAATGTTAATCCAAATGACATCAGAGCATTTGATTCTCATTCAATATTAATTTACTTCACCAAATTAATGGAAAGTAATGTAAGAACTAGAATATGAGAATAAATTAAATGAAGAATTAAAGCATAATTGGAAAATATAATTAAATCAAGGACTTCAGGTGTTTTCAAGCAAGTCAAAAGGACAGCTTGATTTACTGCTGTATTTAAAATAGATTGACTAAGTAATTTGTCTTAAAATTTTTTATTCCACTTATTAAATTATACAGAGAGAGAGAAAGGGGCAAAGCTAAAGATGTACACATCTCAATATATGTTACAAAGTGAACACCAGTGTGAACAGCTTCCCAAGTTAAGGAAAAGAAGAACCTCGTCAGTACCCGGAAAGCCCGCCTCTCCTCCTCTCCTAACTGCTGGCCCCTCCTTCCCAACAAAGGAAGCCACACTATCTTCATTTTGAAAGTAATGAAATAATGTTTTTCTTCAATATTTTACAAACTAGGTCACTATGCACTACAATTTAGTTGGCTGTTTGTTGTTTTTTTTTTTTTTGCTTTTTTTACTTTAAATGAATGCAATCACTCTGTGTAATTTTGTGATTGGCTGCTCTCATTCAATATTACATTTGTGAAATTCATCCATGTTGTTCAATGTAGTTAGTTGATCCATATTCAGTGATGATGCATGGGATTTCATTTAATGAACAATATACTTATCCATTCTGCTGCTGATGGAAATTTATTTGTTTTTTAATCTGAGACTATTATAAATCATGATGTATGAACATTTTGGTACACATCTCTTGGTACACATCTGCATGCCTAGGAATAAAATTGCTGGTTTGTATGGGATGTGTACCTTCAAATTTGATAAATAATGCCAAACTATTTTCCAACTGGTTGTGCCATTTCACCCTCCCCTGAGGCTCATGAGATTTCTCACTGTGCGGTAGTCTCACAAGTTCTTATTGCTGTCCATCATTATAATTTTGTCAGCTCTGATTTTGAACAGGAGTATTGTATGGTGGTTTAGGTATGTATTCCCAAGATTACAAATGCAGTTGAACAAGTTTTTGTTTTTATTTTTGGTCATCTGTGTAACTTTTTTATGTGAAGTAACATTTCAAGAATTTTACCCATTTTTATAGTGGGTTGTTTATTGTTTAACTATGACTTGTAGAAGATCTTAGTAGATTATGCACATGAACCCTGTCATATGTTCCAACTGTATTCCAGTCTGTGGCTTACCTTTTCACTCTCCTAATAGTCTTTTGATTAACACAATTTTACAATTTAATGTAGTTTAATTTTTCCCCTTTGAATAGGACTTTTTGGGTCCTATTGAAATGACTCACTCTGATAATACCTTTGAGATGTTTTATTGTTTTTGCCTTTCATAGTCAGACCTGAAATCCACCAACTATTATTTATTTCCTATATAAATATCTAGTTGACTCAGCCACCATTTATTGAGACTATTTATTTTAAAAGACTGTGTTTTTTTCCTACTAAACAGAAGAGGTACTATTGTCACAAAATAATTGTCTATGTATGAATGGATTTAATTCAATACAAATTTTAAACCCCAGAAGACATCATTGTTGTATACAGCCATTATTCCTCAGTGGTTGTCAATGTGCGGGCCCCAGACCAGCAGATTTAACATCATCCGGGAACTTGTTAGACATATAAACTCCCGCTCCTGACATATTGAATCAGAAACCCTAGTATGGGACCCCACAATGTTGTCTGGCCAGAATCTCAGGTGATTCTAATGTACACTAAAAAATTTTAGCATAAATTCTAAATTTAGTGTGAAACCTAGAACTGTTACCCTAGATTTATACACATATTTATCTTTTTCATTGTTCTTTATTCCTTCTTGTGTCTCTGCATTTCCGTATATAGTAGTTTTCCTTTTACTTAAATAAAACACTTTAATATGTCCTTTAGTGCAGATCTAAGGATTAAAAATAACTTTTTTTTTAATTTGCCTGAAAGTCACTTTATTGTACTTTAAGTCTTCAGGAATATTTTTGCTAGGTATAAGATTTTAGATTAACAGCTATTTTCTTTCAGCACTTTAAATATTTTAATCTACTTTTTCCAGCTTTTATTATTTCTGTTGTAAAGTTAGCTATTAATCTTTTTTATTATTGCTTGAAAAGTAATCTCTATTTTTTCTCTAGCTTTTTTTCATTTTTAGCAATTTTACTCAACTCTTTTTATCACTTTGCTCTTTTACCACTCTTTTATTCTCATCTTACTTTATAGATTTTTTAAAAATCCTGCCTTGTGTTTCTTAACTAGATTTTGATGGCTCTCATCTGTTTTGGAATGATCTAAGTCATAGTACAGCATTTTCAAATATTGCTTTGGCTTCATTTTCTTTCTCCTCTGATCCTGGAATTTCAGTGACACAGGTATTTTATTTCCTCACTGTTTTCTCTATATCTCTTAACGTCTCTACTGCATTTTTCATCATTTTTTTCACTCCACCTTTCATTTTGAATATTTTCTTCCTAAAC